TTGAGTTCCAGCCAAAGCTCTCTGTTCAGCCAGGTTGGCCTTCTTCCCTGCTGGCTCATCTTTCAGCACATGAGGACGGCCTAGTTCTGCGCCTTGAATATTTCCTCCTTGAAGAATGTCTAGCCTTCCTGGATACCTTTGTCCTTCAGGACTGCCTCTCAAGCGACTCACTTGGTCTCCTAAACAGGCCAAAGTCTGCCCTCTGGAAGTCCAGGTGGCAGCTCTCCTGATCCCCCTCCTTACTTCTCTGAGAATTGAAAACTCTGTAGTTTCACTATCGCTTTCCCCAAGGTGTCCTGAAACAGTTACATCACCCAACAGTTGGCAAAAAACAGGTCCAGTGGGGCACCTTCCCTAATCGGTTCCCTCACCAGCTGTTTTAGGAATTTATCTTGCACACACTGCAGAAGCCTCCTAGACTGCTTCCCCTCTGCTGTATTATATTCCCAGCAGATATCCCATAAGCTGAAGTCCCCCCTGAGAACAACAGCTAGCAATATTGAGACTGTTCTATGGCTCTATGTTCCATGACTCCCTAAAATCAGACCAACAACCATGCTGGTCAAAGCAGGAAGAGTAACTGGCACTGAAAAACCAGTGCAAATTATTTTGTTCGGTTTTGTTGTTAGGTTAGCAGAGATTTGCAAAAATCAGATGTACTAGTTTTAAAATCTTGAAGGACATGTCTCAGATGAAACTGCATGCATTCAATTAACTTGTTTCCAACGCAAAAACTGTTTTGACAATTTTTTTCCCTGATTCTTCTATATACTGGGTAGTTTTATTAATCAAATAATATTGCACATTCTAATAGAAAAATCAATTCCATTAAAATGCAATTTACAGAGACAAGGAAAAAATGTATCTATAAATAAAAATGCAACATCCACCAATTAACAGAGAACATAATGGATAACTGAAATAAATTTACAATAAATCAAGAAAAGACCTTAAAAAAACCATAAAAAAATTATTTGCAGAAAAATTCCAACAGAGAGACTTAAAGCTTCTGACACTGCTCATAACTACAAGAAATTAAAGAAATAGAAAGGAAATGAGCTGGAAGCATGCCATATGATGCTACCCTGAACTTATTACCCACTGTTAGTATCTTTACAGGCCAAGGAAGGCTAGGGATGTGAAAATCATAGTAATGTTGCTTAGCTAGACTCTCTGGAGCTTATCCAGGCTAACATCACACTTGAAGTAGGCCTACATGTAACAAGGTCAGGTCAGCCATGGTGCTGTTTGGTTAAACCTGTCACAGAAACCTTCAAGAATGGAGATGACAAACTCTCTCGGGGGAGATCTGCTCCAGCCCTGCGCTGCCCTTCTGAAGAGAACTCCCTTCCATTAGATTCCCATGTATTAAGACCACTGAGCTTCAGTCACATTAAACAAGCAAGAAACTTTTAAGTTCGGATTATCTTCATCTACAACCAGATGTTTTCTGTACCAAAACCAGACACAACATAATGCCATTATTTAAATCACAAATGATATTTAGAAATACCCCTTAAATCCATTTAGTTGAGATTGTAATCCAACACATCATAAACCATCAGAAGTTCTAATTTTGTCAACCACACAGAAGAAAATAGTACATTCATTACAAACCATCTTTTTGACTCAAAACCTAACATCTTGCCTCTCTGCATATTGATTTTCCCCCAGTACAAGTCACTCTCCATTCCTCAGACTGTCTGCATGGGTAATAAAGCAGAAGGGTAGACATGAAATTACTTACAGTCTACTAAATTCTCTCTCCCTGATGTTAAAACCTGGCCTATACATCTGGGGCTCTAAACACTCTGTGACATTTACTTCAGGACTCTGGAGATGCTCCTGTGTTATTCTGAAGATTGACAGTGGTGACCTCAGTTACTCTAAGACATGAATGCTATTCTTCAAAGTTACCGGTCAAGTTCTTCCAGGTGGTAGAAGAAAATCCAGCACTACTAGATGACATATAGAATATATTTGCCAGGAAAGTCATAAAAAAAAATATTGAATTTTCCACCACAATCTATATGTACACCTGTCCTGGTTTGTCTGAGATAGAGATAATTTTTTTCCTAGTAGCTGGCACAGTGCTGCGGTATGGATTTAGGATGAGAGTGATGTTGATAACACACTGATGTCTCAGCTGTTAGTAAGCAGGGTTTACACTAAGTCAAGAAATTTTCAGCTTCTCACACCAACCCACCAGCAAGTAGGCAGGGGCACAAGAACCTGCAAGGAAATACAGCCAGGATGATCCAAACTGGCCCAAAAGATATTTCATACAATATGGTGTCATGCTCAGTATATGAACTAAGGAGAAAGCTGGCTGGGGGCTGATGCTTGGGAACTGTCTGGGCATTGGCTGGCAGATGGCGAGCAACTGTATGTGCATCACTTGTTTTGTATATTCTGATTCTATTATTATTATCCATTAATTTTTTTGTCCTATTAAATGTCTTCATCTCAACCCACAAATTTTACTTTCCCTCCCGCTCCCCCCCCATTCTCTCCTCCACCCCACTGGGGAGCAGGGAGTGAGCGAGCAGCTGTGTGCTGTTTAGCTGCCAGCCAGGTTAAACCAGGGCAACAAAATTAGGAGAAAAAGCACAGTAAGCAAATGAGGAGACAATAAACAGCTGATCATACTCCAGACGTACGCTTACAAATATGCACTGTTTGCAATAACAAAGTATTCTGACATTCTCTAACCAAAATCAAAAATCAATAATATTAATCTTTAATACTTCCTACTTTGCTACAAGTTGGTTCTTTACTAAGTGTTAACCTAAGTGTGGTTCTAACCTAACCACACTTAGGTTAACTCCAGTGTATTGCCATATCACATTACAGCAGCCCTGAGGACACGGTAGGACTGCTTATCTTGGCATAGAAGAAGCTAACGGGGCATCTATTTTACCTGTGGGCGTGGCATGAACACCGAGGCAGAATTGTTGTTGTCATCCCAGCAGATCTCTAAACATAACAGCTGCTGATCATTTCTTGCTAGAAAATGCTATTGCTTTTAGTGCTCACAAATGTGTATACACCACAAGATTTAATATGGTTGCTGATTTTACAGTCTGAGGACAGACCCATCAAAAACTGAGATCTTTCCCTTACAGAAAGAGGCAACTTGCACTTTGATATGGTGTAAAAAATCAGACATGCAAGGTAAACATATATCTTAGTTTTCTATCCTTTAAAATTTGCCAGTGAACCAGGCACATACATACTTCATTTTTTGGGGGATCTGAGGTAGGGGCCTGGGCTCTGAGTATGGTTTACTGGCAAGAGATTACAACAACTTCCCCTGTGCTCCAGCAGCAAGGGGCTGAGCAGAGGGAGGGGTCCATATACAGTCTGTGAGGCTGGTGCCACCAGTTACTGGTACAACCAGTGAGGTGGTGCTGGCTTGCTTCCGCTGACTGCTGCAGATTCAGCTTCCTCACTGCTCACCCTCCAGCACAAACCCATTGCAGAAAGCATGCCATGGCCCAAACAAGAGCTTCATTCGGCTGTTCACCAACTGCACATCTCATGGGCCTCAAGCCATCTTCATTACGTACAATCCTTTCTTTGTTAGCCAGAACCAGGGCAACCTGGGATACACAGGACAGTGAAAAGCAGAAGGCGGACTTGATAGCAAGGGAACATGATTGAACTGCTGTGTGGAGTTGGCAATGAAGGTTTATTAGCACTAGTTCAATTTCAGCCCCACAGTCTTTCTTCTCATGAGGTTTGTGGAATACTTGTGCCTTGAAGAGCACAGGTTCACCACGGTTATGCAAGTTCAGAGGCTTTTGTTCCCAATTCTTCCCAGCTGGAGATGATTCACTGCAAAAGTAGCTCACATGTCTCTGCCTGTGGTCCAGTTAAGTGGAAAAGTGAGTAAACTACCAGTGGACAATGCAATTTTGCAGTGCTGGTGGGTAGCACCCCCCATACACACAGCAGATTATCTAACATTCACCAGGCTTATGCCTAACCCTTGCCAAAAAACAGTGCGTGTCTTTCACTGATAACCAGAGAAGGCAGGCAGGCAGTGTAGCATCCTGTGTGGCAGGATGAGTGAACCCTGCTCCTGTTGCACACAGCACCCTGAGCCTGAACAAAGCACATGGTGGCAGGGTTTGGCTGTAACCTGGCTCCGGCTCTTCCCTTCCAGGAGAGAAACAGCAGCCAGACTAGACACGAACTTTGTCAAGTTCACAACTTATTTACGGTTGGAAGGGACCTCTGGAGATCACCTAGTCCAACCCCACTGCCAAGGTAGGGTCACCTAGAGCAGATTACACAGGAACATGTCCAAGTGGATTAGGAATGTCTCCAGAGAGAGACCTCTCTGGGCAGCCTGTTCCAGTGCTCTGCCACCCTCAATGTAAAGAAGCTCTTCCTCATATTGAGGTAGAACTTCGTGTGTTTTAGTTCATGGCCGTTACTCCTCATCCTGTCTCTGGGCACCACCAAAAAGAGTCTGGCACCATCCTCTTGACACCTCCCTTTGCGATATTTAGATGCATTGATGAGATCCCCTCTCAGTCTTCTCCAGACTAAACAGGCCCAGCTCCCTCAGTCTCTCCTCATCAGAGAGACGCTCCAGACCCCTAAACATCTTTGCAGCCCTTTGCTGGACCCAGTAGGTCCTTGTTGTTCTTGTACTGAGGAGCCCAGAACTGGACACACTACTCCAGGTCGGGACAGTCTCTGTCCTATCCCTTCCTCTTACAGCAGGCATGGCCCATACCCTGGTGCTTTTGAGGCAGCCCTGGGTCTGGCACAGGGACCAGGGGCTGCCCATTCCCTGCGCTCCGAGCCGGGCCCAGGACGGTGCGCGTCCCGCTGTCGCTCCCTCCTCCAGGGCAGGCTCGGCTCCCCCGGAGGCTCCCCGGGTTCCGCACTGCCCCGCGCCCGCGGCCCTGCCCCAAGCGCCGCCGGGACCCCCGCGCCTCGCCAAGGAGACCCGGTGCCACCGTCCCCCCCGGAGCCCTTCCCCGCACCTGTAGTTGTAGCCGCTGAAGCGCTGGCTCTCCCGCAGCAGGGCGCGGTACAGCCGCAGCACCTGGGCACGGCTGGACGCTGCCATGTTGCCGGCACCGGGGCGGCTCCTCCCGCGACGGCGGGGCCCCTTTTCCCCGCCCTCCCGCCTCCCGCCTCCCGCGCCGGGCGGGCGCAGCCGCGGCGGGAGCGGGGCCGCAGGGCCGGCGGTGAGTGAGTGGCGGCTCGGCCCAGGCCCGGCGCAAGGCCCGGGCGGGGCGGGGAGAGGAAAAGGCGCGTCCCCGGGCGGGGCAGCCCCCGGGGCGGCGGGCTCGGGGGGCCCGGGAGGCCGGGTTTTGCCGTGTCGGGCCTGCCCGGCAGCTCCGGCGGGGGGCACAAGGCGCGACCTGCCCCGAGGCTCCTGTCGGGCTCGGCCGTGCCCCTGTGAAAGGCCCGAGACGGGGAGGGAGGCCCGAGCGGCAGGGAAAGCGAAAGCAGCGCTCAGAGAGGCTGGTCGGTGACAGCAGCGTGGCGGTGCCCACCCCGCACTTGTTGGTGTGTCACACGCGGTGGGATGTGGTCCGGGGCTGGAAGCTAGCAACAAGTGATGTGTGCCAGGGGATTGCGTCGAAATCGCTGTAGACATTTGCAGTCAGTGTTCCTGTACTGGAGAGGGTCCAGTGGAGGGCCACAGAGATGATGAGGGGTCTCGAGCATCTCTCTTATGAGGAGAGACTGCAGAAGCGGTGCCTGTTTAGTCTGGAGAAGACTGAGAGGGGATCTCATCAATGCATCTAAATATCTCAAAGGCGGGTGCCAAGAGGAGGGTGCCAGGCTCTTTTCAGTAGTGCCCAGAGACAGAACAAAGAGCAGTGGACTTAAGTTCCACCTCAGCATGAGGAAGAGCTTTACACTGAGGGTGGCAGAACACTGGAACAGGCTGCCCAGGGAGGTTGTGGAGTCTCCCTCTCTGAAGACGTTCCAAACCCACCTGGACACCTCCTCCCCATGTAACCTGCTCTAGGTGACTCTGCGTTGGCATAGGGCTTGGACTAGGAAATCTCCAGAGGTCCCTTCCAACCCTAAATATTCTGTGATACTGTGAAATCAGACATTTGCAGTCAGTGTTCATCAGTGCCAGTGTACTAGACTCGAGTGTGTTACAGTGTCGTGTGAGTTGTTCCTCTCTCAATACTCGTTTTAAGATGAATTCTCCTATTTAAACTAGCTTGACCTGTATAGTTATAGTTCAATTGCTGTTTAAGTAGTGAAAGCCTCTGACAGAGGTTAGCAAGGATTTCCTGCCTCTTTTTATTTCAATGCTTTCAATGCTTTTATTTCAATGGGAAATCTCTATTTCGTAACTCCTTTTCTTGCTTTTTTCACTGCCCTGAGAAATGACCACATGGGTTTTATCGGTGCCCTCCTCTAAGGTTCTCCATTTGTACAGGTTTTCAGAAAATGAATAACTGTGTTGAACTTTGGGTAAATTTAACACACAGGCCCCATGTGTGCTGAAACTGGCCTTGGAGAGGGTAGGACACAGTAAGGAATCAGTGTACAAGTGCCTGTGTATCTTACAGTCCACAGAACAACAGACCGAAGCCATTTAAAAAGTAGATTCTACCTGTTTATTTGCTAATTTTTGGTCTTTCCTCTCTGCTGTGAGTGTGAGCCTCTTTTTCTGCTTAAGAACTTCTTTTGCTGTTTATACCAGAGGCATCCTGATCTTTTTGTTGTTGGAACAGCACATATCTAGCATCCTCCTTTGCAGAAAGTTTTACCACTGCAGAATAACTTTGTACCTTACAGGTATGGTGCTGCAGGTATATTAAATACTGATATTTTAATGTTATTAATAATACAATTTATTTATAATCATGACAGAGTTCCTACTTTCTCCACAGTATGCTTTTTATATAGTAGATGTATAAATATCTATCATGTAGATATTCTGCATGTCTCTGGCAAAAGTGTTTCAATTGCTGCTACTAATTAAACTCGTTTTATTGTATATGCGCTTTGGGTATTATTATCTGTGTCAGTTGTGCATCTAATACAATTTACAGTTTGTTGCAAAGAACTAAAATAGTTCTGTGCTTCTGAATGTAAATAGAGACACACATGGAATTATGTCAAATTCATCTCTACAGGTATGTTATCTTTTAGCAGCCCATTAGGCTTCTGGAAGTGGAGGTTTTTCCATACATAGAAAATGTCTTGGATATTCTCTTTATCAAAGCCCAGACTAGAAATGTTAAGAGGAAATGTTGCATTTTTCTAGAAAAACGTAAGCAACTACAACACTGGGATAAGCAAAACTTAGGTTTGAGAGTTTAACAAAGTTATGTGACATCATTCTGTGGATGAGTGTGGCAGTTGTTCCATGGAATTTTGCAAGAACCTTCAGTTATTGTTGGAAATAAAGTTTTCGTGTTACGATCTTCAACTCTAAAAGATGAGAGAGTAATTAGGATGAAAGCATTAAACAAATTTTGTTTACATGAGCAGTATTGATTTAATAGTTGAAAAGCAATTACAAATTATTTTGAGATTGCCTCTGGTGCTAATCCTGTTCCTGAATCTCCCTGACAGTTTCTGTGAGTTTCATTTTTTAAATTTTTTTTTTTTTTAGGTAACCATGTTTTTCTCTTAAAGAAGCGTGGAAACCCCATATGTTTAGAATAAGCAATAAAATCAGGCAATGCATTATCAAATTCAAAGTAAACCTATCAAAGGAGAGAAGTCTTTCCTCTTGTCTCCTTTACGTAGTGTAACCTATAATACACTCAAGGAGGGAAGAACAATTTTTAGCAGAAACTTGTAATCTTTGTGCAGTTGGATTGACATTTTTATCTGGAAAAATTAATATTTTCTTATGTATTTTATTATTGCATTTCCTTGGAAGCAGTGGATTATGGTCTCAGAAGCAATGAATTATGGTCTCAGAAGTCCTGTCATTCTGCAGGAAGCGGACATTGCCTCTGCTGTGACTGGAGTACACGTGTTTCTGCTGGCCTTTGTATATGTGCATCACTGCAAGCCGGCAGAGAATTTGAAGGACAGACAGAGCTCAAATAACCATTGCTGTATCCTGTGCCTATGTATGGGGAAGCACTAATAGCCACTTAATTAACTATCTCCTCATTCCTAGGGGAAAACCACACCTGAATTTAATGCAGTCATCAAGCCAGAACCAGTCAGTACATGGGTGGATTCTCCCCCCTTCCCCCCTCGCCCCCAAACCTCTCTTGTTTAAAATTTAGTGCTGATTAATTATTATATTTTATGGAGGTTTTTTTGTACTTGCAGTGATACATATAGTTATAGTCTAAAGGAGTTTGTGGGTGTTCATTTGTGCAGAAGTCTTTGCCTTCACCATTTGGTCTGAGGAAGGAAGGTGGCATGTGCCTCGCCTTTCTGCATCTCTTGGGATAAATAAGCACTTTGAGAAGGACAAAATAGTATCCCTACCTGGAACATTTACTAATATTCTAAGTATGTAGCTGCTAAAAGTAAAGGAGGAATTTGAATTAAATACCTGCAGAGACTGTGGACTGGTGTGAAAAGGAACAGCTGTTCTATTCTCTGGAGCATATTTGATGTCTTGTCGTATGTTGCCGAATAGTTCCTTGTAGTGCACTATTTCAGCTTTATGACACGGCACTGAACACTTTCAGAGAGCATGTGTTTTCCTGGTACACTGCTGTTGGTTTTTGTTATTTTTCTTTGGGGGTCAGAATGATAATTGATTGTTGTGATATTATCATCATCTCTTTTAATTATTGTTTTTCAGTTTATGACAGCATTGCTAATTTTACCCTGCTGCTGTGGTATGATGTCTCTCTTCTCTGCTCTTAGTTCCTGATTGACAGTGTTGTGCACAGGGAGATCCTATACAGCAGAGTAGGACCGTTAAAAGAAGGATTGTAAATCACAAGAATTTCAGGATTTCAGTGACAAGTGTAACAAACTATAATTTAACCATTCCCTATGGTGAATAAGATTTCCACAGTATTAACAGGAGGCCTTGACTCACTCTGCTATTAAAATATTTATATTTAATTGGTTGCCCTAAAGAAAGGAATATTTTTATTCAGGAGGAGAAACTTCCATTTTTCAAATTCAGCTGTACTCCTAAATTCTTTGTGCATTTTGAAAAATTTTGCCTAGAAGTTAAAAGGTAAGGAAAAACCATGACAAAACTCTTATTTCAGTTTTTGTGAGTTTTCCCCATCTCTTTCCAACTGAATTACAGAATGCTGTGTATTTTTTAAAGTAAGATTGTAAGAACAATCAATAATACGAAAACCAAATTCCAACCAGTAGTGCATTTTCTGTTGTAATACTTGGTCTTCTAAGGGAATACCTGTTTTACCACTGATCCTAAACCTTTACTGGTTCATGATCTCTTGTGCTGCAGGCACTGAACTGAAAGAAACACCAAATTTTGTTTTCCTTGTTGGCCACAGTTTTAACTTTCTAATTTCTTGTGGCAGTGTGCAACAGCAGAGGACTTCATGGGCATTGTGTTGGCTGATAATTAAGCAGCTGATATGAAGCAGCTGGACAGTTCAGCAATCCCAGAATAACTTCTGGATTGATGATATGCATTGTTGATATATACCATATTGATTTTAAAAGATGTTGTTAGTGGACATATGTTGGTAAAGTACTTTGAAATGCTTGAAATAAAAATGCTATGAAACTCCAGAATTAAAAGGATAATTTTGTGTAACAGTAATAGGCAAGAGAATAAATAATAGAGGATTAAAATTACCAATAGTGCTTAAATAGTGCAGCGTGTAATAGTTGCATCAAATGTGAATGACACTTTGAACCTTAATGCTGATGAAAGCCAAGGTATTTTTTATAATGAAAACCCCATAAGAAATTAACATATTTTTGCTATGTGGTTCTTTGTTATACTGCAATCTTACTCAGAAATCTAATAATGAGAAGCATAAAGGACAGAATTAATTAGGTGTTCCCATCTATGGCCTCATCAATTCAGAAATGTTTTCTTTGCTGCGCTTTCCAGTGTTTTATCAAATTTAGCCTTAAATAACTTCCCTTTCTGTGGGAAAATATATTCTACTTTATATGGTATTGCTGTTCAGAAATGTTTTCTGATGCTCAGCCTATGCCACCCTCTTCCCTGAGTTCATCCCACTTTTTAATTTATGCCCCTTAGAGTCAGGCTGTTTAATTCCTCTCCTCCTCTGTGATTTACACTATTGTCGTATTTCTCAAGAGCTGTCATCCAGCCAGGCCACCTTATGTAGTTATTTTGGTATTTTTTCTGCCCTCTTTTAGAGGATGTTGAAATTTTTAACTTAGGAAGCATATTTAGCTGTAAAACAAGGACTGATATTTTGTTTAAGAGCAACTGAGAGTCTCTTTGTAGCCAACCCTGTATCTTTTTTCTTGACTTGTGATTTCTGGTTTGGCAGATTGGTTACAAATGGTACTGCCAATCACGACTGCATCCAAGGTATTTTGCTAGAGCAAAGTTCCTTCTTCTCTTGAGTTTATTTTTTTGTCATATGTAAATGTGCATGTGAATATGCATAAAAATGTGTGTAGGTGTGTATACAAGCATGCACGCAGTCATGTTGTGGTGGTAAAGGCTATGCCCTTCATCCCAGATTCTCCGTGGTTCAGCGCTGGGGATTGGTGCACAGCTAGCACAGTGCTCTGAGTTTTTTTTCTGATTACCCAGTCCCCATGTCTCAGGTATACGAGATCAGAGACATCCTGATGCTTGGGTGCATCCCAGTTCTTCTGCTCTCTGGATTATGGGCATGGGTTTTCTTCTCAGGTGATGCCAGGAGCTAGCTCTACTCAGGTCAGGGACTATTGCTTAAGTCCTTCCCTGAAAATCCACTTCACTAACCATTTTCTTATAAATACTTCTTGTGTGATTATTTGCCAGAAGCAATTCCTGGATCAAAGTATCAGTAGGTGTGGAAGTATCATGTGGCTATAAAGTAGTGTGGAGCTGATAAAAGAAAACATGTTATCCAAGCTAAGGTAGAAGTAGAAAGTTCTTGCGTAATGTGTTGAAAAGGTGCTGTTGGGGAAAGGTGTGACCTCTGATAACGGGACGTGTGGAAGAAACTAATATTTTTAATTTTTTTAGGGAAAGAAAAATTAAGCAAAATTTTGCTTTACAATGGATGTGTAAATCATCAAGGATTAAGTGTATTGTAAGTAGGCTATCTATTTAGTTTTCTGACTGTGGGGCATGGGGAGGGGGAATGATTTTCCACTTGTAACACATTTTCATTTTATATGATGCTGTGTATCCATATGACTTTTTTTTCTGGTAACTTGGACTTTTAGTCCAGCTAAAAAACCAACATTTTGAATAGGAAGCTGAAACAAATTTTTTCTGGGGAGGAAAGAAAACTATAGAGCAATGTTTTAGTTGAAATGAGGAAAACAATGTAGCCATATTAGGAATTGTAGTAATGGTAGAGTTTAAATTACTTACTTTTGCATGATCTTTGACATTTTTATTTTTCGTCTTGTGTCACTATCAGTTTTATGTCATCAGAGCTCTGGCTACGTGTGACAGTGCATTAGGGACATATTCCTATATATATCACGTTTCTGATGCATTTGTAAGATCAGGTAAATTGTCACTATTTCCTTAAATGCCTTCACACTTCTAGATACAACTTCATTTTTATTTTATTTCTGTTTCTGGTTTTTATATCTGGGGTGACTGTATCAAAATTTTTCTTTCAGACAGTCCCTGAAGAGAAGAAACAAAGCACTGACTAAAGCTAACAGAGCTGAGGGAAGATTATCTGTGCTTGCAGGTAAATAACTAAAAATAAATTTAGCTTTCTGAATCTCTTTGCCACAAACAGTGCGAGTCTTTTTAGTTAGTAACAAGTTTTCAGTCCTTCTCCATTTTAATTAATAATTGAATTTTAATTTATTTAATAATTAAAAATATTTCTTCATCTTCACCAGCTGCTAAAGACAGGTATGCTGGCTATCTAAAGTTGCTTTCCATATAGAATTAATGCATTTCTTTAGTCCTAATACAAAAACAAAGAAACTTTTGAGACCTGAGACATAAAGATAGGTAGATAACAATAATAACAATAGATAGATAAATAGGTAGAAGATGATAATCTTCCAAAGAAGAAATTCAGAAGGACAAATTCTGTCATCCTTATATCAGAGTATTTCCATATCTTTGAATATAATCCCTTTGAAATCTGTCAAACCACCTAGGCAATAAGTTGCTGTTCAGCGTGTGAAGAGGTGGCAGAATTAGGTTCTCCTTGCTTACAAACCAGTTATAATTGATGCAGGTCAGAATTCAGCATAGGATGCTCTGGTGAATGGTGAGGGAGCTCAGGGAGCTCTTGGGAGAGGCAATAGTTACGTTTTTACAAATCTCTCGGCCTTCCAGTCTGTAACATCCCCGGCCCCATGGCAGAATAAGCTAAAGGCAGTGTGTGTTTGTGTCTCTTTATAAAGTTTTGTGTGTTACCTCAAAATGAGAATGCGTGGCAGTTTAGACGGGGATGCAGGCCAATGAAGTGGAGCTGTCAACTTTCCAATAGGAATGGGTTTACATTCTGCTGAAAGGTGGGAAAGGGGGAAAAAATAGTTTAAAATACCAAATACTGTTCTGGGAATATTTTTGAGAGCCCAGGTCTCTGTCTGGAGACCTGAATTAAGTATCTCCCTGTTCTACTATTCTGAAGCATACCTATTTCAGGTATGCTTTGTAGCCTAGTGTTGGTTTTGCCCAGGATCAGATTGTGGAGTTTTTCTGTTTGTTTAGTTGTTTGCTTTTTGTTTTTTTTTGGTTTTTTTTTCCTGGCACTGTACATACGTTGTTTCTTTTAATTCATTTTTATGCAGGTGCTTTTCATTGTTATTTAACTTCTTCCTTTTTTTGAAAATCATTCCTGATGAAGTATGTGTGCTCCATTTAAAATGGAGAAAAACAGATAAACAGAGTAAATATTGGGTCTTCACAGAGATATAATGGTGCTTCATTTAATTTTTTGTGTGTGGATGATTTCAGAATTGGTTTCACTTTGAAAAAACTGTTCAAGACCTTTGTTAAGAGTATTCTTACTTTTGACACTTTTAACATAACTTTTTTCATTGCTTTCTTATCTATTTTAGATTGTAATGTAGCTTTTTTCCCAACATTTGTTTTAACTTTGATTTTATTATACTAATTACTCTCAGTGTGAAAATTGCATAGTGCATTACACCAGCTCTTCCAGTGGGAAGATAATATTGTAAAATGGACAGATATGGTATTGTACATGTAAAATTAATAGATATTGAAGATGTAACTAAATATTGACTCTATATAGTTTGATGAACTTAGGAAAGCTGCTTGCTTCTTTTATGTTGGCACGCTAACTTCATCAAGTTTTATGAAAGAATGTTGTTCTGAACAGATAGAGAGATTAAAGGTTAACTTTTTCTGTTTTCCTTTCTGTCCCTCTCCATCCATGCACAGAGTGTGGTTCTTATTCCACCCCCCACTTTTACTCACAACATATCTTATTCTAATAGTAAAATTCTTTCACTGTTTTCTTGTGGTAGGTTGCATGGTTAATATAGTATTCATTCTACAAACAGAAACTCTGCCAGATGGATTTGAACTAAGTGTGCAGTAACACTGTGTTTATTCTACTAACTGTTGTTATTTAAACTATTCTTTTTAAAATAAACTTAATTTAAGAGATATTGCAGGTTCTACCAAATCGTATTTTCTCACCTGATATTAGGAGTTCGTTTGACCCCAGTGTCCCCTGACTACTCTCACTCCAAACCCTGAGTGGCAGAGCCTGCTGGGCCTCTATGGAATATGATCTTTCAGCATGTGGCAAATTGCAATTCTACAGATGGTTTTAAAGAAAAATAATAACAATTATTATGTTTTAATTTTTATTCTCTCAGTATGTAACGGACGTGGAGTTAAGTGAAGATTGTTTTATCATATGTGACCTTGAGCTATAATAGCATCTTTTTCTTCATTAATAATAAAGATTTGATTCTTTCATGTTGTTATTTTCTCTTCTTCCCTGACTTGTATGGCTTCTTTCACCTGGTCAATGTGTGTATCTTGGCTTAAAATGCAAGATAAGGGGATGTTGCCTTTGTTATCTAAAGACTGGATGGAGAAACACTTCTGTGTGCCATAGTCTGAGAGGTGTATCCCAAGCTCTGTTTTAGGTTTTCTTTCACTGAGGCTTGCTCTGGAGGGAAGTGTGACTTGCAGGTGTCTGCTGTCACAGAAATGTTCTCTGATATAAATAAAAGACATGGCTTTCTCAAGGCTTTTCAAACAAAGGTTTTCTTTTGTTCTTTGTGCTGGGCTTTGTGTTGTATCTCGACATTATATGTCTAAGTATATCAATATTAGAAAGCCTTATAGGAGGTGTTACCCAGTAATATTAAAGATGTTAAAACATTAAGCTGCTCGGGAGCCCATTATCCTAGGATGTTGTGAGTCATGAACTGAAATATATCCTATTTTCTAGCATTAATGGCAAAGAAAGAAGTTAGTGATACTAGTCCTGTTCTTTTTAGTGTAACACTCTCAAACTTTTTTTTTTTAATCTGGTGGTAGCAGGACTGGATGGAGACACAATTTAAATCCATATTTTAAGTCATGCTTGCCTTACTTTGCTTGCTACAGAATATTTTGGAACTAGTTTTTCTTTAACAAGCTATAGGAGATGTCAGCACCTCCTGAAGGTTATAAAGACAGTCGTGTTCAGATGTAATCAAATAGAGTATTACAAGGTAGGTCTGCCTGAATACTTATGAATTAATCCTGGGTGTAAACTTTTACCAGAACTGGAGAACAGTTGTATCAGGAAATTAGACCAGGATTAAGCAAATGCTTTTTGAAATTTGACTTGTATTTATTTGAATAGGCAGAACTTTAAATTGAACATTTTTAATAATAAAATTTATCATCAATATTTATCAGCAGCACTGTTTATAATTCAGTGTCAGTTGTTGCAGTTGAAGTGTTTTTAAGGAAAAAGACTACTTTTTTTTAACCTTAGGCTTTAAACATAATTAATGCATTTATTTAGCTACAGTTACAGGAAATGTTTCATAATATAAGTAGAATATTCACACATCAGGTTTTCTGTCTTTTGGTAACCTATATACATTCATAACTGCAGAATATGCAAAGTAAAATTTTTAAGCTTGTTAATGGAGGTTACCTAGGTAGTTAATTCTTGCGTGTCTTCTTGGGTATGCTTGTCCTTAAAAAAGCAAAGTTAAGTCTTTCATCTTGCAGCTCAGCAGACTAAGGAGGCAGCACACAGGCTTGAAATGTCATGTGAGATTTAGAAGAAGAAATGCAGTATCCATTCACTTGTGGTAAATTTTAGTGCTGGAATCAAGGAAATAACAGCAAAGTGTTTAAAAAAAATATGTAATTATAGTAAATAAGTTTGCTAAAAAGACCACAGTAAAGGAAACCAAACTGAAAATGTTTAGGAGTGCAATCTTACTTCATTTTTGTTTTACCTTCTGAAATTTGTATTGCTGTGAGACCAACTGTATTGAGACAGATACTGTGATTGTGTGAGACTTGCTGGCAGAGCTGTCTGTATTGTTTGCAAATTTTGCTGTTCATGTAGGTCCAGCATTTTGTGTTGGTTAAATGGATTGGAATGAACTGTGTCATTTAGAAACTGATGTGGTGAGTTGTTTGGTTTTTTTTTCTTTTACAACATGCAAGTCAATACAACACTCTGTGTAGGCTAGCTGCTTTTCCCTATACTTTTGTTTTATTTTTTTCATGCTTTATTTTTCTTTGAAACTCATGTGATTGGGGATCAAATGTACAGAGTTTCTAGATAGATTTTGTTTGCTGTAACAGTATATATTTGCAATTCTAGCCTCAGACTTTGGGTTAATAGGTCTTGAGAGATCAAGGGGTCTTCTGCTTCTAGACCTCATTAGGTGTAAGGGAACACAACAGCCTAAATCAGTGGAAAAGATGGAATAATAAAAAAACCCTGTTTGTTGATTTCTGTTTCGCTCAGTCAATAGGAAAGAGCTCCAGAGATAGGCAATCATAAAAAAAATAGAGTTTTTTGCATTATCTAAAAAGAAGTGTTGGAGTAAATAGAATTTACTTCTTAGTAAAAGTTGAAGGTCCTATTTGCACATTTCAGAGATAGTGGGCTCTTATGGAGAGTGAGCTGACAGTAGTGTTTTAAAGGAGAAGAAAGTCTCTTTTCTTCTTTCAAGAGCGGTAAATTTATAGGACTCACTTTCTACTCACAGCATCTTAAACTATAATAATCCATGTTATCCTGCAGCTGTGCCTGTACTCAGTCAAGAGCTGAGTCTAGAACCATTTCTTACATGTCTGAACCCAGTAAAAAAGCCCTGCTAGTGTTGTTTTTAATTGGATGCCTGAAAGTGGCTCTGCTGGCAAAGTGAAGGAGAAGAAAGATAGTAGGGATTTCAGTCACCATTTTCTGACATCTTATCTTTATCTGTCTCTGACAGGGGTTGAGTAAGAAGGAATCAAGCAGACTGGGGAATCATTTCACATCCCAATTTAGGATTTTAGGGCTCCATGAGGGATGTTTTTCCATTGCATGGGAGTAAAATCCTGCAGCTGACTCCCTGGTCATGAAGGCATAGCTGTCCAGGGCTTCTGAGCAGCTACAGCAAAGGAGGCCTAAGGTGTGGTAATAAAAGTTGTAGTAATATCATTCCCTTTCCATTGTTTTTAGTGTGTTTCTCTAACATGAAGTAGAAGGAGGTGCTAAGAGCAGACCTCTTTGGTTATATATACAAAACTTTTTGAACCTGGATGCCATGGATTTGATTAAAAAAAAAAAAGGCCTTTTCCAACAAGAAATGCACTCATTCTTTATTTCTTTTGACTTTAGATGACGCCAGTTTATCTTTCTGTTAATCTTCAAAAGCCTTATAGATTTAGTGCCTTATTTCCAGTATATTGGAAGTATTCCACTATATTTCCATGCTCAGATATGGCAATATATTGTTGCAGGGGTGAGCAATGTGACACATAAATAAATTTATAATGAAGATAAACCTGTGTAGGAAAGAAATAGTTGGAATCTTTTAAAGTTATTGATGTAACAATAATAATAGTAGTCTGTTTTCCTTCAAAACCTGGAGTAGCCTCTAATACACCTTTATGGAAAAAGTTACTTTATTGTATGTAATGTAGTCAACTGTCAAATTATTAATTTAAAATTCAGATCTGAGGGGAAATTCAAAATCTGTAGACTCATATGGAGTCCTCTTCACTTTCACACTGCTGGAGTGCTTTTTGATGAAGACAAAAGAGGATGGAGTAGCAGCTAGCTGTCTGGAACTGATCCATGGTTCATTGCATTAAATTGCAATTTTTTTCATTAACTTTGATCATCCTTGGATTGAACCTGTATTCATATGATTTAATTAGTAGCAAGCTCAGGAAATGCTTGTATATTGGCTTTTCTAGTTTCTTGCCTACTGAGATGGTAATTGCATAAACCAATATATTTGTATGTCTATGATATGGGAAGTGCAGAAGTACCCACAGTTTGCTTTCCTAGACGTGGACTTCCACCTTAAAGTTAGACATTTTATGCTAAACCTCTTTTTCTTTCTAATTATAACATCAAATCTGATCATCTTATGTTACACATAAAACAGGTCTATTTCTATGTCATTATGCTGAAAAAATGAGCAGATTGTAACTTTATTGTATGTCTGATTTTGAAATACATTAAAAAAAACCCTACCCTTATGTTTAACCTTCTAATATATTTAACTCTTGATAGACTGATTTCACCTGAGAGCAAAAAGGAGATTCTTTTAATGTCAAATGTTTAGTTATCCAATAGAGTATATTTTCATCATGAATCACATTGAAGGTATTAAGGCTGTTATTTTATTTTAGTTTAGTTTAAATTATGTAAAGCAATGTAGCTTCATGTTGGGATGTGCCTTTACATTTATGTGAGTTTGGGGGGCAACCAAAGGAAACCTCTCTCCATAAGGGCAAGTTTGTAGACAAGGCTCTGAAGCATTTGAAATGTTTTTACCCTGAATCAGATTTCTATCACGTTATTCCTTGCTTTATCATACCTTATTAGGTGAGCTGCCCCAGTGCCTTACCTGTGGCAATTAATGAAGTTAAAGTATTGTTTGGGGTAAGGGAGGAAGGGTGGTAGGAGCTGGCTGGGGGTGTTGACACTGGATGCAGAGATTGCAGTGTAGATATGTCTTGTTTGTTTTGCATGTCTTACAAGTGGCATGAAAGACCTGAAAACCTCCTTTTCTTGCCTTCTCTAGACGCTACAGAAAAAGATGTCAACTTCACTTATACTCTCTTTTTAGTAGTTGCAAGAAAAAAATGTGCTATTTATTTTGTCAATGAAATGCCGAGTATTTCAAGATGAGATTAACTCAGTAGAGGACTGCAAAATCTTTACTGCAACAAGCAACTTTACCCAGATGACTTGTTTGCTGAAAATAATTAAGAATGTCTAGGTAGCTGAAAGCTTTAATCTACTGTGCACCAAGAGCATCTGGTTTGTTTTGTGCATTTGTTTCTTTGCTCACAGAAATTTCTTAATTTTCCAAGCCAACCAGGAAAACCAGCAGAATTCTCTAAGGAAAACTCTGCCAGTGCACTACAATAAGGCCAAATAATTAGATTCATACTTTTAGAATAGATACACAGACAGCTTACAATCAAAAACAAAACGCCCCTGATTCAGCAGACACAAGTTGTTTTCTGGTATAGTAGGACAAAGAACAAAGTTCACCTGTCTCATAGCAGGCTGGTTGGACTTTGCCAGCATTTGCACTGTTGTCCTAGAAAAACTCTGAGGTTCCTGAGTGGGAGCTGAAATAACGTGGTGCCAGCATCAGCAAAGATTTCATGTGTTTCGTTTGTTCTTCCAATATGGCTAACATAATTCCATTTCATATATCCACTTCCATAGAAAGGAATCTTTTAGAGCAGGTAAATATCATGCTTTTAGAGCCATTTTCCCTAAA